CTGGAAGGCAAGCAGAGGCCAGTGAGCCGCCGTCTCGCGCGGGAAGGCGGGACGTCCCCCTCCGCGGGGCCTCGGCGTCTCGGAGGGACGGAGCGTCAGCTCCACGGCGAAACGCCCTCGCCGCGTTCCCCGGACCCGCAGCGAGGAAGGAGGCCTTGTTCCCGCCCGCACACACGTGGCCCGGAGCGGACAGATCGCGATGGCCGACGCACTGCGAGGCAGACACGGTCCCCACCCGGGAAGACCCTTCGAAGCAGCTTCGGAGGCTCTGTCACCCGAGGCCGGTGACAGGAGGTGACGGCAGGCAAGTGGGGCTTTACAAAGGGGAAACCGAGGCTGCAACGTGTGTGGCACCATCGAGACCTCCAACGGGTTTTTGTTTTGAGTCAGAGTCGCACTCTGTCACCCCAGCTGGAGTGCGGTGGCACAGTCATGGCGGTCACTGCCTAGACCTGCTGGGCTCAGGTGATCCTTCAGCCTCAGCCTTCCAAGTAGCTGGGACTACAGGGGTGCACCCTCACACCTGGCTAATTTTTTGATTTGTTGCAGAGACGGGGTCTTGCCAAGTTGCCCGGGCTGGTCTCCAATTCCTGTGCTCACCAAATTCTTGTGTGACCCTCTCTCTCACCTTGGCCTCCCCAAAGTACTGGGATTACTGGCATGAGCCACCATGTATGGCTGTCCTGCCTTTCAATAGCTAATTTTATTTTTAATTTTTGAGTCAGTCTTACTGTCGCCCAGAATGGAGCGCATGGCAAGCCTGCGACCTCTGCAGCCTCAACCTGCTGGGCGATGGCGATCCTTCCGCCTCAGCCTTCCAAGTAGCTGGGACTACAGGCGCATGCTACCATGCCCAGCTAATTTTTTGATTTTTTGTAGAGACGAGGTCTTGCCGAGTTGCCCAGGCTGGTCTCAACCCCTAAGCTCAGGCAATCCTCTTACCTCGGCCTCCCACAGTGCTGGGATTACAGGCGTGAGCCACCGTGCCCAGCACCAGCAGGGCTTCCTAGATGGACACGTGGCCGTGTCACCTCTATGACAGAGAAATGTCCGACAGCCCCAGTAGCATTTACTAGGCTTGCCTGTGATATACACTGAGGATACAAGAAAGGCTCGCAGCAGGTCACCTGCCACCTGGCTGCACAAACACAGCTGTGGCTCTCTGCCTGTGTCTTCTGAATCTCACGTGACACCTGCCACAGAGTGGACACCTGGGGGTGTTGTGAGAATACCATGTTAGAGAACTGGTAGGTGGGGTGGCTTAATTTCAAACAGTGTTCTCCTTGGCACCACTATGGTGGGATCTGACATTCTTAAAGGATCAGCTGGGTCAAATTGCTCTTAGGAACCAGACATCAGCTGGGTTCAGTGGCTCAGCCTGTAATCCCGCACTTTGGGAGGCTGAGTTGAGCGGACTGCCTGAGCCAGCAGGTTCGAGACCTGCCTGGGCAACTTGGTGAGACCTCATCTCTACAATAAATCCAAAAATTAGCTGGGCGTGGTAGCACGCGCCTGTAGTTCCAGCTACTTGGAAGGCTGAGGCAGAAGGATGGCCAGAGCCCAGCAGATTGAGGCTGTGGTCTCGGGTCACTGCATCCCAGTCTGGGTGACAGAGTGAGACTCCAACTCAAACAAAAAAAAAAGAAGAAAAAAGGAACTAGACATCAAAACCGAGGTGCCATAAAATTGGGAAATCCGTGCTCCGTTTCTCTGTGAAGGGCTGACTGCCATCCAAGCTGCATGCTTACATGGAGCCCAGAGCCGTAGTGAGGCTCTGAGGGTCACACAGGCTTGCTTAAGACACACGCACACGCCGTGCTTCTGGAGGCTCCGGACATGTGACGGTATCTGGTTGTTGCAAAAGCAAATGCTCCCTTCTGCTTCATCCTCCCCTTCCCATCCCACCCCCTTGGCCGCCCTGGCTTCCAGGATCCTTTCCAGTCAGGGAAGACACCAGAAGGGCTTTCTCTTTGTCGCATTCCCTCCAGTCCCATGGCAGGACGTGGACAAAGAGGGCCTCCGTCAAGCCAGGTGTGCAAAGTCAGGCTGAGCTGGATTTTCATTCCGATCTTTTTTCTGAACCCACAGACTTTTCGTTCAAATACCCTCCGCACCTCAGACAGTTGCGCTACAGAAATGAGGGCTAACTTTGCCCTAAGACACAAACACCGTGTATACTTTCTTCATAGAATAGAATAATTACTGGAAGCCACTTCCAATTTCTTTCCTTCCGTGTGTGCACGCAATCAGCCCCATTCTTTTTTCCGGCCCTTCTGGCATTTCCCTTTGTTGGACAAACTACCCAGAGGATGCTTCTCCCTACACAAACCTGACCAGCCCCGACAGCTCTCCTGGCAAACACAGGCAAACACAACCAAGATGCCTGTGTCTTGTAGGGCTGGGGCTGGTGCCTCTCACCTGCTGCCCATGTCCCCTCTGGAAGGCATGCAGCGTCCCCAGCGCCAGGAGTGGGCTGCACCAAGTCGATGACATCTTCAGGCTCGGCGGGACTGGACGTGTGCTCCTCCAGGGACGGGGGAGAGTGGCAGCGCCCACCTCCATCACACAGCACTGGCTCCTCAAAGTCGTCTTCCAGGGACCCGATCGTCTCTTCAAAAAACAGGATGACGTCCTTTTCCTCGTGGGTGAGGTGCTTCAGGCTCTCATCGTCCTGGGGACAGGTGTGAGGAGGGAATGGAGGAGAGAAAACAAACAGCAAGTTCACTGAAGAGACAAACGTCCCAACTGAGTAAGGATCGCTGTGCAGCCCGGGGTAGAATTCACTGTCTCCCAAAAGTCCCTGCCATTCGGGTCGCTCCACCGACAAGCCGTGCCTGGCTGTCCCTCACCATCGTTCCCGATGGAAAAGAACAGTGTCAAAAGGTGGAGCAAATCACAGATCCTAGAACCTGAGGTGGCCCCTGGCTTTCGGTTCCCGCTGAGTCCGTGAGAAAAAGCCCTTCTCCTTCAGGACCCCTCGGAGAGCTGCCCATGCCATCAGACACATTTGTTCTTTCCATAATAACACCAGGAAGCCTCTGGTTAAAGATGCTGGATGGACCCATGTGTCTCCTCTCCCTCCAGAAACTCTACTAAGACAGCACAGGGAGTTTGCAAAGGCACAAGTTGCAAAGACAAAAATAACAGGGAAAGAGACGACTTTGGAGACCCACATGCCCTTTAATCAGATTCACCAATTTCTAACTTTTTTCTACGTTTCCACATCCTCTGTGTGTGTGTTTTTTCTGAACCCTGTGAACATGGCTGCTGCATGGTGCTCCCCCTCGCTACTGGAGTGGGTGTGTTTTATGAATGAGACTCTTCTCTCACAGAGGAGTGATCGTGATGTGATCTCCGCTCTCATGAGATCTCATGACCTGATTCTCTTGTATGTGACCTGCTTTTTCACTCTGGGAAGCTTCTGGCGTCTTTTCTTGGCTCTCATTGTACTGAACGTTCACAGTGACGTGCCTCGGCATGGGTCTGTTTTATTTTTGTTCACTAGGTGTTACTTTTCACTAAGTATGAAATAATTTCAAAACAAACAAGCAAAAGATCAGGAATCAGAATAACAACAGACTTCTCAGCAGCAATACTGGAAGCTGGAAGATAATGGAGAGACTCCCTCAAAATTCTGAATAAATGGTGAACTAGATTTCTGTATGTAACCCAATTATTAATTAAGATTACCACAAAATAAAGATGTTTTCAGGACATGCGAGGTCTAAAAAACTGATCTCCCGTGTCTGCCTCTCTCAAGAAACTACTGTAGGGGAAGCAGGGGTGTAGGCTGTCCCCTAAACAAGGGAGCGAGGCAAGAAAGGGAGCCAGGAAGGAGGAGTGTCACCGTGGGGAATTCTGGAATGATGGTGACATCCCCAGGATGCCAACTGTACCGTCCACAAGTCCAGGGCAGGCCAGCGGGCTACACAGCAAACCGAGCAAGCAAGCAAGACCAAGACCATCACCAACCACAGAAAATACTAGTGTTGCGAGAGAAAGCATTCATCTATCAATCTGTCTACAGCAATGCATGCACCCACACACACACATATATTAATTATGGTCGTATTTATAGTAGCAGGAAAAACAAGCAAAACAAGAAACAACCTAAATGTCCAGCAGTAAGGGAATGGTCAAACAAATCATGGTACTGTCATACTGTCACAGATGGAATAGTATACAACATTTTCTTTTTTTGAGTAGGAGTCTCACTCTGTTGTCCAGACCAGAGTGCAGTGGCATGCTCCCGGCCACCACAGCCTCGAGCTGCTAGGTTCAGGTGATTCTTCTGCCTCAGCCTTCCAAGTAGGTAGAACCACAGGCATGTACCACGATGCCCGGATGATTTTCTGATTGTATTGCAGACATGAGGTCTTGCCAAGTTGCCCAGGGTGGTCTTGAACCCGAGTATACAACATTTTAAGTGGCTTTTTCAAAAGAATATAACGTTAAGTGAAAAAAGTACAGACAGAAAGAGAGGTGTCTCAATTTGATTTAAATACATGCACATACAGGAAAAGATCTGGGAAAGAAATACAGCAGAATGTCAGTAGTGGAGGAAAATTACGATAAGTAGTAAATAAACAGGTGTGAGTTGAAGGCTGCTTCCTGTTGAGGGGGAAGCCAGGGGTGGGAATATGAAGAATGGACACTTTTCATAAAGCTTGTAAAACCGTTTATAATTCTACGAGCAGGGACTCTGATAAAACAACAGAATGTGGTGGAAGCAAAGGTGATTAAGAGCTGACCCACACGGTGTAGAGGGATGCTTTTCATCCTGGGATCTGAGAGGCTTTCAAACGTCCATCCACCAAAAGCATCTCACCTCCCCCCAGCCCCAGAGAGGGCCGGCGGGCCACGTGATTTCAGAGACTTCTCTCTGGTCGACGGCACAGTGTGCTCTTGCTTCAGGGACAATTAACACGAGAACACAAGCATATTTCTCAAACTAGCCCAGTCATCTTGGCTTAATCCTGAAAGAAGGATGACTCGGGGAGGGGAGAGACCCTGCCAGCCTGGTGGGGGGTGGGTAAGCAGGTGGAACCCTGCCAGGGAGTGTGGGGCACGTGTTGAATTTGAACCTAGATATGGTGTCAGGGCCATAAGATGGATGTCTGCTTCAGTAGAGAGACACGGCCACAGTTTTCCAAAGTGGTTGGACTGACACTTCCTATCAGCAGGGTGGCTTGCACTAGAGCCCTGCCTATCAGAGGTATGTTGGTGTCGCTCACTGTGGCTTTTGATGTCATGTCCATGAAGATTAAGGGTGCCGAGCATTTTTTTTTCCATAAAACAGGTTGAATATTCCTTATCTGAAATGCTTGGGACTAGAAGTATTTTGAATTTTGGCATATTTGCACACATAGCGAGATATCTTGGGGATGGGACCCAAGTCTAAACACTGATGCTTCACATATACCTTATCTTCATAGTCCAGAGGTAATTCTGTACAATAGTTTTAATAACATTATGTTCGAGACCAGCCCGGGCAACTTGGCGAGACCTGGTAGCTTGCGCCTATAGTCCTGGCTACTTGGAAGGATCGTTGGAGCCTAGCAGGTCGATGCTGGGGTGGCCATGAGTGTGTCACTGCATTCCAGCCTGGGCGACGGAGTGAGACTCCATCTCAAAACAAAAACAAAAACAACAACAACAAAAACTTGACGCATGCAACAGTCTATGTACACTGAGCCATCAGAAAGCAATGGCATTGCCTCTCCGCCACCCACGTGGACGGTCTGTGGTTATCTGGCATCACCATCAATCCAGCATCTGAATTCACATGTTACTGACAAAGCAATCATTTTCTTATACTTATTCACACATAAGTACTTAACAGTAAAGAATTCGACACACATATCTGTTGTGCTCACAAAAGGTATCTCTCAGCTGAAGGGGGCCGGTGGGGGTGTTTTTCCCTTAGGGGTAGTGAATTAACTGTGTGCTGTGCGCCTGCTTTTTGACTGTGACCATCACATGAGGTCAGGGGTGGAATTTTCCACTCATGGTGGGGATCAGAAAGTCTGGGACTCTGGAGCATGGGATTTCATATTTTGGGGTTAAGGATGCTGAGCCCATGCTTTCTGGCCACTTGGAGACCCTCTTCACAAAATGCCCGTTCAAGTCTCTTGCCTGCTTCTCTATCCAATTGTCTTAAAAAGTGTAATTTGCCGGAGTTCTTTCTGTATTCTAGACACAAATCTTCTGCCATCTATATCTACTGGAACATTGCACTCAGTAGCTTACCGTCTTTCTCTTAATGGGGGTCTGTTGATGGCTAATCCTTAGTTTTAATGTAATACAATGTATCAATCTTTTTACAGTTGAAAATCACCACCTACTTCATGGTCATGAAGAGAGTCACTTTTTTCATTCTAGAAGCATCACTGCTTTTAACCTTCCACACGATTGCCACAGCAGATATGGAGCGAGCTTTTGTCTGTGCTGCGAGGTCATGACTGTTTTCCAAATTGATACCCAATTGTCCCAGCACCAGTCTCTGAAAGGAGCACCCTTCCCCAGCAGGTCTCCTCTGTTGTTTAACAGATGACAGGACTCGTGTTGGTCTGTGGGACTCTCTTTGCTGCTCATTTGTTTACTTAACTGTTCATGCACCGATAAACCACTATAGTTATTAAGATCTTTTTTTTATGTAGTAAATCTCAATATCTGGTGAAGTCCTCCGGGCTCTTAGGTCTGGGTGACCTTTTCTTGGCTCTTTTTAATTTCCATATAAATCAGCTTGTCAGTTTCCACAGTGCATAAACACACACACCCCTACAATGATTTTAATTGAGACTGCATTCCTCAAATTGAAGAGAACTGATGTTTTGACAATATTTTTTAACCCACAAATATGGTCTAAGCCTTCATTTATTTAGATTTGTGGTTCCCAAAGTGTGGTCCTTGGACCAGCAGTGGCATCTGGGTGCTTTTTAGAAATACAAATTCTTGGGTCCCATCCCAGATCTGCTGAATCAGAAACCTTAAGGTGCTGGGCCTGTCCGCCTGCGTTCACACATACCCTCCAGGACACTGGTAGACGCACCGAGGTGGGCCTTGCATCTCCCTCACAAGACCTTGCAGTTTCAGCGTCAAGAGCCTACACGCTTTTTGGTCCTGTGTCCTCTGAGCTACCCGTGACGGCCCTCCCTCCACCACATTTCACTTCCCATCATTCTCCCCTCCATGCTCTGCAGCAGGGGCAGCTAGCTTTTTGGTAATGGGCCAGACAGCAAAGGTTTGGGGCTCTGTGGGCATTAGGGTGGCAACTACTCATCTCTGTCGATGTAGAAAAAATATTCAAACGCTACTGGCAAAGCTGCGATGCGGGGGGGCGTGGGTTGGTCTGCAGGCTGCAGTCACTTCTCGCTCTACTGAAATCAGTCATTTGCTGTTTCCTACGTCTGTTTCTACACCCGCAATGCCCACTTCCACCGGCTGCATCTCACCATCCTTTTCCAACCGACTCCCACAGCGCCGGCCACATCGCACATCAGATCCTCTAGCACCCACCAAGCATGGGCAGACAACACAGCGTGAGGAATCTTCTCGCTGTCCAGAGTTTACCATCCAATGAGGGATTCGGAGAAGAAGACTGGAGAGGATGCTAGCGTGTGGAAGTCCTATGACGACCTGAGCATGGTGTTATGGCAACGCACAGCCTGG